CTATCAGTCCGATATCTTTGGCCTTTTGTCCACTGACCTGGCTCTCCCGGAATGACACTGGTAAACTGCACGGGTGTGAAAAATAATGTTAGCTGTCACACCTGCATTATAAGGAACTTTCTCTTATCAGTCGGGATAAGAACGTTCAGCCGACGCGACAGATGGGCATGTGTGAAAAACTATGTTCGCTGCCCTGCCTCCAAACCTTTACTGTTAACATAGTTTTGGTGTAATTTGTTGGTTAATAAATGATAACCACGTAGGGAATTCATCTTCTTTTGTGTATCTATCTTCAAAAGTTTGAATTTATAAATGATCATGTAGTAATCAATTGCGTGTATCGCTTTTAGTTTGCACTACTAGCAAGCGGATAGCTGAATCGAATATGGCTTTCTGAGCCTCGACGCAAGTGACGTCACTCGCCTCAAAGCGCCACCACGCGGGAGTATCATAAACTAAATTCACACCTGCATAAAATCGGCTTTAAATACTAAATAAACGTAAAAACTTTTTTTCATTACTCAAAAATGACTTTTGGGCACCTAATGGATAGTTTTAACCCGTTTTTTCATCACAGTATACCTTTAATGGACCAATAACCGATTTTTATAGACGAATGTAGTACAGTGAGAGAAAATTAGTGCTTTTTCTCCATTTTTTTACATTTCTGGTGTGTTGCTAGAGTAAATTTTGGTGTCAACTAGCAGGCCAGAGTTTTTTAACCAAGAATTCATTAAGGCGTACCTTTGAAACTGAATTATTCCATATTTAATGTCAAGTCTGTAGTAGTAGCTTATACCCAACCTCTTAGTCTCCACGTTATGTATCCAGACATATTTTCAGAGAGCATGTTGCTATTTTGGTTTCTGCAGTGTATTCCCTTACATCTAAACAAAAAGTAGTCGCTGATTTATTTTCACGATATTTAGATTTTGATTGTTGCTGTAAGTGTGCACTGCGAGTTTACCAAGGGTTATTGCATGCTCAGACTGTATAAATTCCCTTCGCCTCATTTAAATCAGTGACCGCCAACACGGGTGTAGCATATCGCCGCGCGTATACCACAATTCGTGCCAAGACTTCTTAAACACAACTGTTTCAATGAATTTTCAGGGAGAGTTAAGTCAATATTTATTTGGTTTTAAATAAACTGATATATGTGTGTTCATTGTTCTTCCGTACCAGTATAATTCATGCAGAAGAACGAGGATGCGGAGGGCAAACGAGGGGTGGGCGGTGACGGAAAGCACCCCTACTCCCAATGCCATGTGGTATTGAAAGTCCAGCCTGTTTTATATACAGAGGACGGGGAATGGGTTGCTTGCATCCAGCAGACATTCATTTTGATTTTGAAGTACTCTTGCGTGCTGACCTATCGCAAAACCTATCATCTAAGCGTGTATTCCTTTTTAATTCCCGTTTACAACTTACGTACAAGTGTTACGCCCACCACAAAAAGAACACCTTGTTTAAGGTGGCATGGAAAAATATTGACGCAGATAAATTAGAAATGATGCATAAAGCACACGAAGAAGGCGATTTTATCAGAGGGGAGGGCGTATGTCTGGGCATTAAACAAGCACCACATATTATAAGAAACATTTATAGATAGTGCTATTAACTTAATGTATTAACTTTTTGAATTTATTTATTAATAGCAACGTATGTGATGGTCGTGACTCATTAAAAAATGATTCAACAGGATGTTTAATAAATAGGATCTAAAAGTTTTAAAATTATGACTGGTTTTATTTCCTCAGCTTTTTATTCTCTTACTCAATCTGTCTTTACTCTAGGTTTCCGTTGTGGCTGACACAACTTAACCCGTTATCGTTTGCTCATATCCATTGCAAACTCTTTGCATTAACTATAAAGCAAATTGGCATGAGATCATGTAGAAGGAGAAGTGTGAGTATGTTGGACTGACAAATTTGGGTGTCCTTCGAGGATTACTATCCACTTCTCGTACCCTTCAATTTTCATGCAGGCTATGTTGTCCGATCTATAAGCTATTAGCGACAATTCACCCCTCCCCCTTTTTTCAAGAATGATTTCTCTTAGGCTCTTTGGCAATGACAACAGTTAAGAATATGCCTAACAGTTGATTACAATTAAAAAAAAAAACTCATCCCCTGTGCACTATGAATGTTATAGCCACGGCGCGATCGTTATTAAATGCAATCAACCTCTTTTTTGCTGTACGACGTTAGTAGACCAAATGTACATTTGTCAGGGATAATAGATTGATCTGTTTTCTTGGTCAGTAATATGAGTTCTTTTGCCACTGAATAGCTATTTTTAAGTAATATATCTATCTTTCCTTCTTTTTAGAGTAATGCACATTGTATATATCTTCCCCTTCTTTGGTTTATCTATATATGAATCTACTCTAATTCCACTGCACATGGCGCATGATAGGAATTTGATAAAATTTTAGAAAAAAATCAAGAGGGGACCATAAATCGATAAAGGGGTCAGGACCCCCCCTGGCACCCCCCTAAACCCACCGCTGCATTGTTGGGATTTTATATTAAGTACTCGCGTGAAGAAGTTTTTCAAAACTCAGCTGCTTGGATCATGATCTACTTAGAAAATGGAGAAGTATTTCGTTTTTTAATTTCGTTATTTCTTCTGTTTTTTACTCTTTTTTCTTGACAATGATTTCATCAAAGTGATGCTTAAAAGTTTTACATTTTGCACTTTTTTCAATTAATGTTGCTATTATCCTTTAACTGGCTGCGTACCGTTGAATTTTTATTATTAAGTTATAAGAACATCGCCTGAAGAGGCAGTGGGCACGTGCCCTTCCCTCAGCTTCTGGACTATCTCTTCCTGCTCTTTTAAAAGGAAAAAAAACGACAAAATAGAGCAATTTTCTGTCAAAGTGTAGTACTATTTCCGACGTCTGTTTGTCATTTTTCATACTTTTGACTCCCCTACACAAAGATCCAGCATATATATATATATATATATATATATATATATATGTATATATATATATATATATATATATATATATATATATATATATATATATATATAATTAAAACTGAATTCACCACAGAACCAGTGCTGAAAATATATCGTAATGACTTATTTTTTACATGACGTTTTGGGACTTTTTGAACGAAGTTATCTTTATAACAATTTTAGACAAATTATACGAAAAAAAAAAATTCAACGGAATTTCTTATATTTCCCATTAAACAAAATTAAAACATAACGCATAAATTTGATATCATTGATACCATTTAATAACGATTTTAAAGCCACAAGCACGGCAGAACGAATTAAAGAGAAATATAAATAAAAAATTAGAACGAAAAATACATTTTGAAGCTATTGTCACTACATCGTACCCAATTTAAATCACGTTTCCACTGTACTTCACCAGGTGAGCCTCATCAATCAAAACATGTGAACATTATTAAAAGTACTGGCAGTAATATTTTCTTTTGTGACACATTGCATTTGTTTTAAATGCCAAATGTATTTTTCTCTGTCAAGGTCAGTCAGTCTTGTGTTCGGAGATTTCTCCAAATTCGATTACATCCTCGAAATAATGTCATACACCTGTTACGGCAAACATATTAATTCAACCTTTTTACAAAAACCCACATGCAAGAATTTGCATTTCAAGGCATTAAAAACCCCGATCAATGTCAAAATTAAAAACAAACAAAGAAAAAAATAGAATAGTTATCGTAGAACCGAAAGAGTCGCGTGCACCCCCACAAATTTCAGTTCCATTGTCTTTGATTTCGTAACTTTCTGGATTTTCGACTCTCCAATAGACGTTCACCAAAGAATAATAAGTTAGGAAGTCAAATAATTAGCTTTTCTCAATTCTGTTATTCAACAGATAGAAAGAGTCCATTGGAAAAGGGTTTTGAAAGTTTACGTGACATGGTTCGTAGTAACCCAAGTCAACGGCTGTGAAACATGAAATGGCGTCCAGCGCTTCCCGTGTTTCACTTGAACACCAATGGCTGAAGAAAGAAGACAGTTTGTGCAGAGTTGGTTGAAGTCGCTCTTTGGTCATCACGCCATGGAGCATCAAGTATCATCCTGATTTAAAGAGAAATGAGACAAAGATTATAGTTTTGTCGGCTTCTGTCATGATTTCGGTAGGTAAAAATTGTTTATGTAAGGGAGAACAAAAGGCTGGAAAATCAGGATACAAAAATTGTTTTTTTAATCTGGTGAGTTGGGTACGAAATAAGTTTTTAGTAAAAACGTTTCTTGGGGGATGGAGCGCGCGTGTGTGTGTGTTTGTGTGATAGAGATATATTAACTTCAACTATCTTGTTTTTTTTAACACACATTCAAGATAAAATACAGTGTACTTACGTCATCGGCGTCGTTTGCTGTTAAGGGAATCCCATAAACGGTGCAGGTGTCACCTGTGGAAGGCCGACAAAATCGACGACATCGTTTGCTGGAAATCCGTTCCAATCTCCGCATATCCCTTCCATGAAACCAGACCAGATCGGAGGAATGTGAATCTGGAGACAATGCCGGGCCACACGTATCCTAATGTCAAACAGGACAGGTGGTAGGATCGTGGAACTAACCTCAATGTACAAATCGCCAGCTACATCAATTATCGAGATATGAAAACCGCCCCCCACGAACAAAACTCGAGGCGGACCCCCAGTAGGACCAAGGTTGACAGCATCATTAAACAGCGCCGGAACAGGGTCTGATATATCTACAACCTGCAATGAGATGAAATCCCGATAGTGTTATTTTACAATAATAATAATAATAATAATGAGCATGACATATATATAAGTAGAAAATAACTCAGATAGCACAACTTGTGATTTACGACAAAAAAAGTAAAAAAATAAAGTGTTTATTAATGGATCCAAATCTGCTCATTTCTTTTTTTAGCCATTTCTGACCTGTCTTAAAATTTTCATGAAATTGGCCAATTTCATACCTATCCTGTAAATTTCATTAAAATCAGTACATAATCAATTTATTCATTAATTATTACTTTACAATGGATCATCACAAAATTCTCATCATTAATCCCTAGTTCCATTTGTGATATATCCTAAAAAATGTGCTACAAATTTGTTTATTATTTTATGCGCATCACAGTCAAGCGAACAAACAAACAAACAAGCAAGGGCGGTCAGGTGAGCTGAGTGCAGACTTCGGAATCCCTACACATCAGAGTAAAAACAAAAACAAAAATATGCATTTCAGTGGTATATATATATGTATCTTACAGTTTCAACTATTTTCTTTAGCCCATTCCCCCATACTCAATCATTCAAAGCATGCAGCAGTGGCGTTTCTCTACACATTTACAATATTACGGCCGTCATTATTCTGAACCATTTATAAATCAACACAGAAAAGGAGTAAAGATAAGATTTTGCTCTTAATAATTAAAAAAAAAAAAAAAAGAAAGGGAAAAAGACAAAACTGTTATCATTCTGGGAGTCGAACCTTATATATCCACGCGTCTCCAGACACATGCCTGGCAGTATAGTAATGGGACGTGGAATTTCGCTGCATTTTATGCCGTTTTTTCTGGCCTTTGGATTACACGTATCACATAACAACCAGAAAGATACAGTCAGTACTGTGAGCAAGAAAGTTCACATAGACATTCAAAACGTGAAAACCGACACACACACACATACACACACACACACACACACACACACGCACACACACACATGAAAACCGATCAACATACTTCGATAATCCATTATAGGGGGCATTCCGAAGTAACAATGGTAACAAAAATATAACCTTCTCGTCGGAGGTAAAGGATCGAGAGAGCGCAGCCTCTTCCAAGACAAATGACTGTATCGAAGATTTCGAAGAAACAAACATCAAATGTACCCACTTACGGTTACAAATGCTACCTCCTCTTTGTTGGGGTAATGATAAGAATACACTGGAAATCGTCTATTATCAACCATCACACACACACACACACACACACACACACACACACACACCCATATAATTGAGTATATTTACAACATTTTATGTAGCTAATTTATTCACAGCATGGATGCAAAGTTCGTACCTACATGTATAAGAAGCAGTATAGTAAATGGCTTGAGAGAGAGAGAGAGAGAGAGAGAGAGAGAGAGAGCAGAGGAGAAAACTTACCGTTATTGTGTACAGCCCGGCTGGATGTGGAATGCCTTTGTACTCAATGATCACGTAGAAACCGAACATCTTGAATTTCACTGATGCCAGACGAGTCTTCGGACCGCCATCAAAGAATTCTTGTTCCGTTATAATATACCAAAGCCAGCCACCTATAGGCTTTGCCATTATACCAACAACCCCGGGCAGGGTGTTAAATCTGAAGACTTTCCCATCACACGTCACATAGCGGACATCACCATGCGCATGGCATTCACAACCCGGAATTGGCGCTGAAATGGACAGGGGCAACTTGAATGATAAAAGATCACTAATTTGGATACGTTCCAGTAACTCCATAAAAGGTCCACCGTCAGCATTAAATGACCTCATGATACGCAGGAAACAATTCATCAAATGGCGAATTTGAAAAGAATAATTTTTTTTAAGTATAAAAAGTGGCAAAGTAATAACTAAGTAAACACTATAAATTATGGTACTCTCAACTCATGAGCTGACTGCCTTAAACTAAAACTGTTCTTTAACTAAATCGCCATGTCTTTAAGTTTTATCTGCAAATAACTCTTCCCTGTCATCATGATTACATTGCAAGTCTCCCAGAAACTCACGTCTTAAGTCCTCGTATAGGGGACATACCAACACGAAATGAACCTCATCTTCAACCATGTTCTTATCACACAAT